CCCAGTGTAGTGATGGGGACACTATACTGTCAACAAGCACCGTCCTTCGGATGAGACGTTAAACCGAGGTCCTGACTCTCTGTGGTCATTAAAAATCCCAGGATGTCTTTCGAAAAGTGTAGAGGTGTAACCTCGGAATCCTGGCCAAATTTGCCCATTGGCCTCTGATCATCATGGTCTCCTAACAATGCCCATATCTGCTTAATTGCGCACTATGGCTGCCGTCACATCATCCAGGTGGATTCTGCACATTGTTGGTGGTTGAGGAGATACCCCCTGACAATGTAAAGCGCTTTGAGTGCCTAGAAAAGCGCTATATAAATGTAATGAATTATTATTCCACGGGAACATACTGCTGCATCTGTAGCGTGACACAACAGAGGTGGATTGTTTCTTTGAATTAGGAATTCAGGCTAATCGTATATTATTCCTGATATGTGACACTCTAAAAGTTAATAACCGGTCGATAAACTAATTAAGCGACAACTAAATTGATAAACCAGATGAACAACTCAACAATAACCTTACCTTGTGGTTAATTATAAAGGTATCATTTGATACATATGACCTCACACAGTGGGTCCAAACAGCAGGATCGACTTGTGGAGACCACTGGTGAAATCTGGTTAACACTTTACAAAAAGGTCCTATTAGTTAACGTAATTATTAACTAATATGAATTAACGAGCAATACATTCGTTACAGTATTTACTAATCTTTGTTATCATTAGTTAGTAAGAATGCATTTGTTTATTGTTAATTTTTTAATGTAGATAACTAATGTTAATAAATGGAACCCTTATTGTAGTGTTACCAAAAAAAATTTTTTTCCATTTTTTTCTAATCTACTAGAAAATGTATTAATGCATTACATTACATTACAAGGATAATGTCACACTTCCCTAAGGTGAGGAACGAGGAGACAAGGCGTAAACTCACAACAGTACTTTTAATCCATTAATCCAAGGGGTAACATGGAGCAGACAGGAACACAGGAGACTCAGGGGTAGACGTACAATCTCCGACAAAGACAGACAGCACAGACTGGGGCTAATAAACACAGGGCAATCAGGGTGCATGGAATGACTAATTAACGGGGACACGAAACACATGGGGAGGAAAAACACAGCAAAACCAATCCAGGGGCGTGACATTACTCCCCCCCTCCCGGAAGGCGCGTCCCATGCTGTAACAATTCCACCAGGGAGGGGGGAGCGGGCAGACAGAGTCCATGGGTGAGACGATGGATGGAGCAGACAGGAACACAGGAGACTCAGGGGTAGACGTACAATCTCCGACAAAGACAGACAGCACAGACTGGGGCTAATAAACACAGGGCAATCAGGGTGCATGGAATGACTAATTAACGGGGACACGAAACACATGGGGAGGAAAAACACAGCAAAACCAATCCAGGGGCGTGACATTACTCATGCCGTAACAATTCCACCAGGGAGGGGGGAGCGGGCAGACAGAGTCCATGGGGGAGACGATGGAGGGAGGAGCCAGGGAGGAGACAGGAGGGGCTTGGAGCAGGAGGAGCCCAGAAGGACTCAGGCCACAGCCATAATGCCGACCCACGGTGGAGCCGACGGAGGGAGGAGCCATGGAGGAGGAATGGCCGCCGACTCCAGGGGGCCGACCAACAGTGGCGGAGCAGGTGGTGGAGGAGTCCGAGGCAGAGACGGAGAGCCGATGGGCCAGGGCGACGGGGAGGATCCGGAGGTCCTAGGCGGAGCAGATGGCGCCGGCGACCGACACGAAGGCATGGATCCGGGAGGCCGTGGTGGAGCCGGAGCGACAGAGGACTGAGGCGGAGCCAAGGGGATGAAGGAGCCTGACGGAGCCGGAGGGACAAGGGAGCCTGGCGGAGCTAGTGGACTGCCAGGCCACGGCGGAGAGGAGGGAGCTTAGAGTCCGGGATTTAGAGGCTGGAGGCGGAGTCAAGGGAAACTCCAGCCATCCAGGGGCGTGACAGATAACTTGTGTCAAAAGTTGAAATGACAAATGAATGGAAAATTCAGAATATTGTGTACGTTGCCCTTTTGCCTAATGAAAGCAGCACTCAGGCTGCAATGTCATACATTTATGTTGTAGAAATAGTCTTAAATATTTACTATTTATTTTATCATTTATTTCCTTTTTTGTGTCAAACATTTTTCAATAGAATTTTTTTTAAAGAAAACAAATAAGATTTTCATTGTGGTCTCAAACTTTTGTACCTCACTGTAGGTGGTCAGCATTTTGCACACGAATGGATTTTAGTCTTCACAAATGTCCTTCATGTATCCTCAGAGGCAGGGCCGGATTTACCTCTTTTCGTGACATAGGCAAAACAAGTTTTTGGGCCCCCCTTCCCTATTAATATAATAGGCCTAATATTACCACCCAAGCAAACAAAAATATTTCTTAATCAGTGGAAACCGTTACAGTGTTTTCTATCGCAATAAGCGCTTGCGTTCAGTCAATAAAAATCAAATGTAGGCTCTTAATTTGTTTGAGAATTCAAACAAATTGCATTTCATTCCATTAATAGGCACGGCGATGTGGTCATAACCACTTCGGGAGTGCATTATTTCTCTAATAATTTAAACGGCCTGGAGTCACAATCACACATCAATTGTTCAGATGATTTGTTTCAAGGCATTTGACATGTTTCCATCTTGAAATCTCGTGGGTGTTGAACTAGCTAATTTTTTACGCACCTCATCCCAAACCTTCCGTTGCAAATTCCAAAACTTCATTTTAGAGCTAATAACAGAGGCTTGAGCCATTGATATGCAGACTAACGCAGTTATTAGAGAGAGAGAGCGAAAGAGAGAGGGAGAGATTAAGTGCATGTGAATACTTGTGTCTGTGCGTCTCTGAGCAGTATTCAGCAGCAGCGTCTACTAATAGCGAATCTTTAAGTTGAACTGCTTCAAGAACCTCGCTACTGAGAAATGTCATGTAGCTTTTCAGCTGCGAAACCCTTATTGATAAATTCGCGGGGCAGCCGCAGCGCTGATGACAAGTTTCTGTCCGCGTCTCCGTGTGTGTGCGCGAGTGCATGTCTACGTGTGTGCGTGTAGAGAATGGGAGAAAGAAAGCGTGATTTCCGTACATAAAAAAGGTTAAAGACATGGAAATAGTTTGTCATTTTTACCCTATTGTTTGTTATATTTATTTGCTCGATGTCTTCTGGGGTTTTTGTTCTTTTACTGTTGTAGATATCCCATAGTATAACAGAAATATTATATATCTCTTCATTGAGTTTGGACCCCCCCTGGACGAGAAAGCATAGGCACGTGCCTACAATGCCTATGCATAAATCCGGCCCTGCTAAGAGGACACCTAATGCCCTGATTAACTCTGGTAATGATGAAGCTGTATTTCATCAGTAACAATATGCAAGTTCCCACTCAGAGCCTGCAAACACAGTGCCTTATTTGTTTTCTTGCTTTGCCATTGTATGCCTCCTTGAGTGACAAGTAGGACAAAGAGTATAAGTAAGTATAAAATATAACATGCACAGATTATGCCCTGATGGCACAAACCATTAAACGCGTAATTAAATCAGACCACAGAAGATTCAGGTAAATTTAATTATCTCCTACCTGGAACTATTTCAAAAAGATGCCGCCCAGGTTCATCAGGATTGGCTGTCAGCTCGTTGACTTGACTACCCTGCAACGGGATACATCCCTGGAGGGAAAAAGAAAGAAAAGATTGCTTTAAACAGTGAATAGGTTTGAAAAGCACTTTATTAGTGTTTTACACCATTTTAAGATGTTTTATCTATTAAAGCATTAAACAGATGAACAATTTCTCTTCAGGGATAACTGGAGTATGTTTCATTAGGCTATTGTAATTTGATAATTGATTTGTGGTGCTAATAAGCACCTACAGGGGCTCACCTTCAAGGCAGATTAGGCAGTGTGGGATTATAATTCTCTGTTGTGTGCATGGCCCAATTTTACGCTGTAATCAGCAATGCTGAGTCATGCATAATTAGACCCAACCACAGTCAAATCATAAATTATGTACCAGCCTCCTTTAGCTCATCCTCCATTCTTCGCTGCCCCAGCATTAAAGGGGTCATATGATGCGATTTCAATTTTTCCTTTCTCTTTGAAGTGTTACAAGCTCTTGGTGCATAAAGAAGATCTGTAAAGTTGCAAAGACTTTTGAAGTCTCAAATCCAAAGAGATATTCTTTATAAAAGTTGAGTCAACCACGCCTACCTAAAACGGCTCGTTCTAACACGCCCCCACATGTCTACGTCATGATGTGGGAAGATTTGCATAACACGGCCCAAATGTTCACACAAAAAAAGAAGGCGCAACTTTTATTCTCGCTGTAGTATTGTTGTTGCCACCGCTGCCATGTCGTGAAGGCGCTGTGTGTTTCGTT